AATACCTTGACATTGCAATCATAAGCCATTTCCAGCTTCGCCTTGAACCCTGGAGTTGGGGTAAAATCCCCATGGCAGCAGAAGAATTGGGGGGCTTTGCATACGTTGGAATCTTTACCTCTTCCTGGGTCCTAGTTCCCTAGCAGGTAGGTGATCATAGACCATTTCACTTCCAATCCCAATGGACTGCACCACTCTGTGTGCCCTACATATCCCGAGCCTAAGGGTGTTAGCTATTTTGGCATCTCAACACTTGGTCTTATCAGTCTCTGAAACTCTCTTTTTCCCAAGGATAGTATTGGCTAGGAGCTTGGGAAAGGAAAGGGTGAATTTGTTCCAGTATCTCTCTGCTCAGTCTCCAGAACTGCTCTCACACAGATGTTTGTATGAGTGTGTATGCATGCATGTGTACTAACCACATATGTGCACACTCCTAGATACAGAACATGTTTCTTGCTGTGGTCATGTGACTAATTTTAGGAGGCTCTAGGACTGCATGCTGTATATGCAATCCACCTCAGACTTTGGGATGGGATTCCATTCCATCATTTAACAAGGCGAGACTTGGTTCATTCGCCACTGTGAGTCCTTCCTGGGTGAAATTAAAGGCAGACCGGTTGGGTGCTAAGGATCCCTGGTGTGGAGAGGCCATTCCGTTGAGCAGCTGACTGTGAAATCAATACCAAAGGGAAGCAGGTCCTGGCGTTGGGATTCTTTGACAACTCCTTGTCTTTCCTTAGCCGTGGCTGTATCTCCGGAGGTCTTTCCGGCTGTGTTCTTGGGCCTGGGGATCCCGACAAGCACAGTCACCTTGTAGGTCACAGGACATGGGAAAAGGGGTAACCTGCAGAGAGAAAGAGAGAAGGAATGATGCAGGTGGTTTGGTCTGAAGTGGTAAAGATCAGAAAGGCAGTGCAGGGCAGAGGTATAATCACTGGACTTGGGAACAGAAGATTCAGGTTCAAATGATGGCTCTGTTTCTTGCTAGTACCATGATAACTTTTTATCAAGAACACAATGGTCATTATCATAACAATTTCCATTTGCAGAGGCATTTGTTATAGGTCAGGCAGTGTGCTGAACACTCCCAATAGTAAAACGCTGAATCCTTTTGACAATTCTATAAGATAGGTACTACAACAATTACCCTTTTATAATTGGGGAATCTGAGGCTCAGGAAAGGACAGGGATTTGCCCAAAGTAACAAGTGACAAATCTGGTATTTAAAGTAAGACAAGCTACTTCTTTCTGAGTCTCAGGTTCCTATGTGTACAACTGGTATAATAAGACCCACCTTGCACTGTAAACTGTAAGGGCTGAGTAAAATCATGGGTGAAAAATTGTAATGCACTGTACCAAAGTTGGTTAATATAATTGTACAATGGAATATTTAACATACAGGACTGCTGTGATGACCAAGTGAAATAAAAGATTTGAAAGTGTCTCTTAGGAAAACAACTCTCTGCACATAGTGGCAATTTTGATTTTAAGAGTCAATGATAAAAACTCAGGCAAATCATATATATTGTATATTGACAAAATAAAAATTAAAAAAAAAAAAAAAAAAAAAAAAAAAAAAAAAAAAAAAAACCTCAGGCAAGCTCAGGCTATCTTTTGGAGGGCCTGGAATACTGAGTAGGGAATATTTCACATACAGATTTTGCACAAATTTGTTTGAAGGCTCTAAGAAGCAGATTTTAGCATAAGAAAAATTGAGAGGGCCAAGTTCCAGTTCCCAGTTTGTCCCTTCATGTGCTCTGTGACCTTGTGCCATCTTTCTTTTCTCCAAACTGATAGAGTCCAACAGAGCAAGTGTCTTCCCCATCCAGCAAATAATCAGTCTTTCCAAAGAGCACAGTGCACTCCCTGCTTGAATCCCAGCCTGAACTAGCGCAAGCCGATTTCACCTCATTGCATCATGATATCTGCATATAACTTTCCCCAGAGGGTCCCCCATCTGCGCAGATGGATTTAATGACCTCATTCGCCTCCTGCCCAGGCAGGGTCTCCAAGTGCTCACATAGTCTCAGAGAGCATCTTGTTTCTCTCCCTCTCTCTCATGTACTTGTGGACTCATTCTCTATATCTAGCTCTTTTTTTCCTCTGCGTCTTTGCCCTTCCTCCCTTCCTGCCGCCCAACCTCACTCCATCCTGAGATTTTGTAGTAACTGAAAATATAGGATTGAACATCAGGAAGATTTAAGTATGAACCTTAGCTGCTTTCTCACCTACTTGAGGTGTGACCTTGGGCACGTGACAATTTCTCTGAGCCTCCGTGAACTCATTCATTAAATGGGAATAATGAAAGTACACACCTCCTGAGGCTGTGATGAGGTGGGAGTGAAGTAACTCATGCGAAACACCCAGCGCAGTGCCTGACATGTGCTAAGTGCTCAATTACATATATATATATATTACATATATATATACACGCATGCATAAACATGAATATACACACATACACACATACGAGGGTACTTCAAAAAGTTCACAGGAAGATTCTTGTTATCTTTTAATTTTATTTTTTCACAAACTTTTTGAAGTACCTTCATATATACTCTTTCTCTCTTTCTCTTTTTTATCCTCCCACCAATTCTGTGGCTACTGAGGCAGGTACCATGTTGGTCTTGTTCATTTTTGTTTTTGCAGAGCTTGAGCCATAGAATAAATACATTTCTATTCATTTGTCCATCTCTGTCTGATTCTTTCTTTGTACTTATGCCTAACACATCTCTTTGTTTCTCTTTTCCATTTAAATTGGTAGGTGCTTGGTGCTCTGATGTTTTCAGTTTCTCTTCCCATGCGTGTCTCTGTGTGCTTACAACTACCTGCTGTTCCCTGTTCAGCACATTTACTTTCCAGCCTCAATGACTTTGTGGAATGAATTTAGAATATTCCATTCAGAATCTAGAATATTCTACAACCTCTAGAATATTTTTCTACAATTTCTTCACCTTCAAGAGAAGCAAAGAATGTTAGAACTGGAAGAGACACAGAGAGAACACCCTCCAGTTCAAGTGGGGAAACCGAGGCCCGAGCCAAGTCAAAATCCAACATTGAAGGTAGAGATGGAGATACCATGGGAGTAGAAGACCCAGGGTGGGATGTTCATTTGCCTCAAACTCGGTGAGTGATTTGGGGAAAATCCCTTCAATGCCATGACCCTTAGTTTCTACATCTATAAGAGATGTGTTTTTTAAATACCATATTTGAGAGGATTAAACATGAAGAAACATGCAAAAGCCCAGCACGTGGCCTAACACCTAGGAGATGCTCAATGCTGAATGCTTGTGTGCTGAATCAAATTTCTCGCTGACTCATATTTCACTATCTTTCCTAACTACTGTACCCTCTCTCCCACCTCCCAGACTTGGAGACCTGCTTTGTCCTTAACTCACCTATCCCTTTTTCCATCCCCTTCTCCTGCCCTTGCTCACAATCTATCATTACAACGATCCAGTTACCTCTAATGTCTTCTCCGTAATCCTCTCTGTAACTCTTTCCCATTGAACTCTAAGACCCATTAGGAAGAGATTCACACCTGCTTTATCTCTTGTGCTTCCTGCTGCACCTTACACAGGCAAATAATCAACGAATTGTATCTCTTGAATAAAATCCAACGTCCTTATCACAAGTTCAAGGCCTTGCATGATCTGGTCTCTACGCACTTCTCAGATCTCACCTGGTTCCTTTCTTCAACTCTCGTTCTCTGGCTTTTTAATTTATTTATTGGTTCCTCAAAGGCTCCAAGTGTTTTCTCAACTCTAAGTCCTTAGCCATGAATGTTCCTCCTCCCTGAATGCTCTTCCATGGGCAGCTCCTTTTCATTCCTCAGGTCTTATCTTGAGCATCACCTCCTGCCTCAATGGCCTGGCCAAAGATGGCACCATCACTTTTACCCCATATCATGCATCCTATTTTTACACGCTTTTTGTACTGAATTACTACACCACTTGTATGTCACCTCAGTCTGGGAAGAGACCATGTCTGTTGTTGAACTGATAGGCATTCAATGGGCCCACAAATGGATGAATGAATAAATGCATGAATACACAGGCAGAACACAAGTCAGAGAGCCTCTGCTCTTCCGCTCACTTGCTGGGTGACTTTTTGCAAGTTGCTTCCCTTCTCTAGGCTTCAGTTTCCCTCTCTTCATGGTCTCTAACTTTCTATCTGGCTGAAAAATCCTCCTCAGTCTGAGAAAGTTAGAAGGCAAAGCCCTGGCTAGAAATGAATTAAAAACATACAGTTTCCCCACAAACTCTGTCTTGCATGTCCCCCTTTCTACCCTCCCCAGTTCCAGCAGCTTCTCCAAACACATTGACTGGCAGAGCCCTGCCACCATGTAGCTTCTCAAGCTGGCATGACAACTATGCCATGCTGGAGTGTTGTTACCATTCTCTTCCCTCCCCAGGTCAGCCCAGGCAGTTTCAGCATTTCCCAAAAAACATGTCTGGAAAGTAAGAGAAGGAAACCCTATCGAAATATGACAAAGTCTACAAGGTTTGGTCTCAGGAAGCAGATCCAGAGCCTCCTTGTCTCCACCACGAGTGTGTGTGTAGCTCTATTTACTGAGTTTGGGATTCAATTGTAGGCTCCACGTAGGAACTGCACAACTTTCCAGAAGGCCCTGGAGCCCTGTGGACATGAAGACTGAGGTCCCCCTGCTATCTGTAAGACAGGGGTCTTCATAAAGACCTACAGGGTTCTGGCGAGAAGTCCATGAAATCATGTTGTCTCCAATCCAGCTCTCAGAGTGCCCAGTACAGAGGAGATGCACAGTGTCTTGTTCTCTCTTCTTGCCTCTTTGTGACCTGCCTGTTCAGAGCCTGCCTTGGAGTCTATCTTCTCACAAGCTTCCTCACTGATCATGGGTCTAAAGCTGAGAAGAGAAGGCTAATGATCCCCAGGTGTTGCTGGGTCTGACCTGGAAGAGACTCAAGGAAGCCTGTCTGTGCCGTTTCAAGTAGTGAACACCATTGTACACACACACTAGAGATTCCCGAGGGCCTTCCACGTGCTAGACGATTTCTATGCCAGCTTTCTGATTCTGCACAACCTTGTGAGTCTATCATTACTAGCTGTCCATCCTGAAGATGAGAAAAGAGAGGCTTCAGAATGTTTAAAGCAACAAAGTTGTCCTGGGCCTCAGTACCAGTCAATAAGGTGATGATAGAGGATTCTAAACCCCACTCCAAACACTAAGACCATTTCAGCAAGTGAGAGTAAAAAGAAGGCATTTTCTTCACAATGTGGTAAGGCTGACTGCTGCTTTGTCTTTTTAACAGCCAATAGTCTTTGCCCCTTATTATGTGCCTGGCACTGAGCTAAACTCAATGTACCTTATTTCACTCTTTCTTCCCAGCAACCCTAATAAGCTGTTATTATGACAGCCATCTTACATCATAAAGGAAACTAAGACGCAAAGAGTGGTTGATGGTAGGTGGCCTGGGATCTGCATCTGTGTTTGTAAACACTCCTCAGTATCATCTACCAGGAGGTGGGCACACTAGGAGTCAGGGTCCTCTCTTCACAGAGGAAGAAACTGAGGCATGGGAAGAAGAATCACATCCTGATAAAGTCAGAGCTCTGACCCTGTTTCCCACATTCCCTGACTCCCCAAGCAGCTTCTCCTCTTCTCCCCGAGACAGTCTCCCAAGAAAACCTGCTTCCCACAGCATGAATGCCATGGTAGCCAGTTTACATTTGAGGATTTCCAGCACCATGTGGCTAGGCTGTACCATAAATAGCTTGGCCACCCACTCTGGGATTCTGTTAACAAGCCCAGGTCAATGACTAAAGGCCAGGATTCTCTCCTTTTTCCCTCTGGACTCAAGATGGTTC